ATCAACATCTTCTGGCCGATGCAATTATCACCCTCGCCATCACAAAGGCCAAAGATTGGACCATAGCACAATTAGCTAAACCTCATGTTGCAAAGCCTGCTGCTCCACGAACATAGATCCCTTGCGATCCGGATTCAATTAGATGCAACTCTGATGCGGCATGGAAAGCAGATAAAAACGCAGGCTTTGGATGGATCTTCACGGATCACCGGGGAAAGGAACTTAAGCGTGGCTCTGCATCCTCTGCAAACATTTCTTCCCCTCTCCTGGCTGAGGCAACAGCAATCCTGCTTGCAATCCAACATGCCCGTGAATTGGGATTCACCAACGTAATCGTAGCTACCGACTCGTCTGTTCTGGTCAAAGCTTTAAGATCGGAGATCCAATCGAAGGAACTCCATGGGATTCATTACGACATCCTCAATCTATCTTTCTCTTTTGATGCTTTGTCTTTTCACTTTACTCCTCGTTCTGCAAACAATTTAGCTAATTCATTGGCTAAAAAGGCTTTACTTTCCTTTGTAACGGGCCTGGCCATTATTAATGAAATGAAGAATCCATCGTTGCACAAAAAAAAGTAGTATTTTTTTTACCATTATTGAATCAAAAATTTGTACAGAAATTTTATTAATTCTATATGAATGTGATATTTGTGTTGAATGCTAGTAGGAAAAAAGTTTATATTTAATCCAAAAAAGATATTTAGTAATTGCGACATCAAAAAATAGATTATTTGTTTGATTATAAATACTTCTCCCGACATCTTTTATATTCTTTTTACCACTGGTCACTAGTGGTCAGTAAGATGAAGTAATTGCGATGTTTAAAGCATATTAACAGTAAATTTATACTGTCAAGTGTAAAATTAAAAATAAGAGGTAAAAAAGTAAATGTGAAGAGTTAAAATATTAAAACTAGTGTCAGAGTTGGGTCTAAAACGGTGTATAATCTGCAAATCTGCCACTATAGCTTTTGTATCACTCAGCTCTCCTTTAGCTTTTGCTTTTTATAGATTAACAAATAAAAGGTAAATATTGTGTTTATTACCAATCTACTTTTTAAAAAAAAAATTATTGAACTTTGTAAAACTCTCTACCTTTTATTTGAAAAGTATATTATGTCTAGTTTATTGTTAGCAAAATTAACTTTAACTATTTAGAAATTCTAGAAACATACATAGTTTGGAATCAAACTAGATTAATTTATTTATTGAAAATAATGAAAAGCAAAGAGATGAGAACCCAAAAAAATTAAAAGTAAAATAAAATAATATTACGACAAGTTACTTTACAGAGGCTCTGTCTTTTTTATCATCTGTGATCTTAGTCCTATTTTTTACTTTTATTGTGAAAAGCACCCCAAAGTGCACTTCTGTTCCCAAAATTTTGAACATGTTATATAAAAAGACTGAATAAATCATCAAAACATTATTTAAAGTAAAAATGAAATTGAAAGTGATAAAGGATTGGAAAATATAAATTATTTATTAAATGGTGCGAATAAATTCAGGCTTTGTCGTATAGTTGTCTTTGAGCAACACTTCTTGCATTAGTAGTACATGGGATGGATGGTAAAAGATATGATATGACTTGTTTGGTGTCTAATTTTTAAAGTTGCTTTTACAGAATCCTAATATTCTCCTAATTTGATCTTGAAATGTCAAGAAAATATCGATCATGATTAAGGATGTCTAACAGAATGTTTAAGTAGTGTATTCGCATAAGATCACTAATTAAAAAAAAAAATCTGAATATACATAAAAATCAGAGTTACAATTTTTTTCTTTCTAAATTTGTATTATAACATAAATATATATATATATATATATATTTGATAAAAGAAGAATTACACATAGCTTTCAAATAGTTTGAGACCGTCTTACTAGTTGTTTCGACCATCGGCACCGGAATCTCGAATGATTTTTCGTTAGCAGAATTTTCAATTTGCTGTAATTCGAAGCATTGTTATTTGAAGTTCACATAAATAAAAGATATGTTCTCTCTTGTCTCGATCTAAAATGTTAAGGTATCCAAACAATAGTGATAATAAATGTATAGGTAGTAAGGTAGAGATCAAAAATGTGTTTCATGTAACAAATATGTGTAACTATTAAGTTTTACCGGATGAATCTATTGTGTTCCTTCCTTTATATGAAAGTATTTAAGTACATTTTAAAGCACATAATTATAGGATACATGAACAGAGATTTTGGGAATAAGCCATGGAGAATTGCTCATTTATTGTTTTTTCTTTCTAATTGGGTCATGTGTGGAGATGCACTATATAGTGAAGAAGATTTGATGCATCATTTTCACTAAAGGTGTTCAAAAAGAATTATCAGTCTCACATCTGCATAGAAATTATTGTTATAAAAAGAATAGAACCAAGATAAAAAGGTGGAATTATAATGCATCGTTTTTTCTTATTTTATTGGAGAGGAAAAAAGGTGGGATTGTCATGTTGTAGGGACAACTTTGATGTGTTCCAAAGAGACCTTTACTTGCTTTTCTCAAATTGAAGTTATCCAAATCAAACCAAAATAAAACATACCCAACCAAACCTAAAAATACACAAATTGCATAAAGATTTCTTGTCTAACTGAATCAAAACCTTCAAATCAAATTATTAAAAAAAAACAAACTGAAATGACACCAATTGGTAACCTCAATTTTTTCCGACACTTATACACACAACTAAACACCAACTTCAAGAAATTTTTATACTCCCTCTGTTTTATTTTAAGTAACGTTTAAACTCTTTTCCCTTACGTTAATAAAAATAACAAAACTTGTATTATATCTTTTATCAATGCATTATATAATTTTATCTCTTTGATTAGTAAATTTTAATCCTTTATTAATAACAATAAAACAAAAATAATATGAATAAAACATGAATTTTGTCTAAACTTTTACTTTCAAGATACAGAACTACTATTTTTTATGAAACAAAAACGAAAAAAAAAAAAAACTAATTCTTATTTAAAGGAGGAAAATACAAGAAAATTGCACATTGACTATGTTTAAAACTATGATGTTCCAATGGATTTGAATCAAATCATTTGATATATACAAAAACAACAACAACAATAACAGAAAACAAATGGGCCATACTCATATGAAAGTTAAAGGGCTTAACTATTAAGCCCAATTGGGCCTGTAAAGTTCAAAACATGAAACTGATTCGATCTTCTTGTCAATTACAAATTTGAGAAAACTACAAACTTATTAAGCTTTTTCACATATGACATCTCCAAGCACAAGCAAGAATCATCGATGCTTAAACCTAATCCCAAAATGCAAATCCTTACAAAACCTCAAACAAATCCATGCCCAAATCATCACAATCGGTCTCTCTCACCACACATATCCTCTAAGTAAACTCCTTCACTTATCCTCCACCGTCTGCTTATCCTACGCACTCTCTATCTTACGCCAAATCCCAAATCCTTCCGTCTTCCTCTACAATACTCTCATCTCCTCCATCGTCTCCAATCACAATTCCACCCAAACCCATCTCGCGTTTTCTCTCTACGATCAGATTTTGAGCTCAAGATCCAATTTTGTTAGACCTAATGAATTTACTTACCCTTCTTTATTTAAAGCTTCTGGCTTTGAGACGAAATGGCATCGCCATGGGAGAGCTCTTCATGCCCATGTCTTGAAATTCATCGAACCGGTGAATCATGATCGGTTTGTGCAAGCTGCTTTAGTTGGTTTTTATGCGAATTGTGGTGAATTGAGAGAAGCTAGGTCATTGTTGGAGAGAATTAGAGAACCTGATTTGGCTACTTGGAACACTCTTCTTGCTGCTTACGCTAATTCTGAAGAAACTGAGAGTGATGAAGAGGTTTTGAAGTTGTTTGTTAGAATGCAAGTGAGACCTAATGAGCTTTCTCTTGTAGCTTTGATCAAATCTTGTGCGAATTTAGGTGAGTTTTGGGGAGGTGTTTGGGCTCATGTGTATCTTTTGAAGAAAAATTTGACTCTGAACCAGTTTGTGGGGACTTCTCTGATCGATTTTTACTCGAAATGCGGATGTTTGAGTTTCGCACGCCAAGTGTTCGATGAAATGTCTGAAAGAGATATATCATGTTTTAACGCAATGATTCGTGGTTTAGCAGTTCACGGGTTTGGTCAAGAAGGTATTGAATTGTACAATAGCTTGATCTCCCAAGGATTAGTCCCGGACAATGCAACTTTCGTGGTGACGATATCAGCATGTTCGCACTCGGGTTTAGTTGATGAAGGTCTCCAAATATTTCACTCGATGAAAACGGTTTACGGGATCGAGCCTAAAGTTGAGCATTACGGATGTTTAGTTGATCTACTGGGCCGATCGGGGAGGTTAGAAGAAGCGGAAGAATGCATCAAGAAGATGCCGATGAAGCCAAATGCGACGCTATGGAGATCGTTTCTTGGGTCAGCTCAAATCCATGGTGACTTGGAGAGGGGTGAAATTGCATTAAAACAATTGTTGGGGTTAGAATTCGAAAACAGCGGAAATTATGTGCTCTTGTCGAATATTTACGCCGGAGTTAACCGTTGGACTGACGTAGAGAAGACCCGGGAACTTATGAAAGACCACCGTGTGAATAAATCTCCGGGAATTAGTACTATTAATTAATTCATTATACCACAAAATAATGTGTAATCCTTTTTTATAGCATAGAAATAAAATTTAAAATTAATCTCCAAAGGACCAAAGCTACTACAACTTGTTTTGCTTTCATAATAAACATTTTAATTAATCCACTATACCACTAATTCATGTGCGTGTGTAAGTCATATGAAATTCGAATATGATATTTAGACTTTAGAGGACCAAAGCTACACCAACTTGTTTTATTTAAGAAAGTGTTGTTAATCCTTTAATAACTCGAAACGTGTATACCAAAACTATTACAAATTTTTTTAACTTTAAGTAGATGTGACAAAAATATCCCATTTCTTTAAAATATTTTCACAAAAATCTTGTTTTACAATAGAATAAAGAAAAAACAGTTGTTAGATTGTTGTCCTTTAAACCATATATTAATCAAATAATTGAATTAGGTGCTTATTGACACATCAATTTAGAACAGTATTAGACCGATGTCTATTCATTATCCACTAACTGAGTATATTTAATGAATATGTAGTCCTAATTAATCATGTATCCACTAATTATGTCTTAATTACAAAAAAATTTGATTAATCAATGTTCTCTTAAAGATTAAGAGAGCCAAAACAAAGCAATTTCAATGGCTTCTTCAGCAGCAGCCATCGTCTTCTCCGATTCTCCGTTTCGTTCTTCACCATTAATCCATACGCATCATGTTTCTCGTTATGCTCCTAGATCCGTCTCCGTCTCCGTCGTCTCTCCCTCCCGTCGAGCTTCCCGCCGCGGTCTCGCCGTGAAATCGGCGCTAATCGATCCTGACGGAGGAAAACTAATGAACCTCGTAGTCGAAGAATCACGGCGGCGCGTGATGAAACGCGAGGCGGAGACGGTTCCTATAAGGATCAAGCTGAATCGTGTGGATCTAGAGTGGGTACATGTGCTAAGCGAAGGCTGGGCAAGTCCTCTCAAAGGTTTCATGAGACAGTCAGAGTTCCTCCAAACACTTCATTTTAACTCGTTCCGGCTCGAAGACGGCTCCGTCGTCAACATGTCGGTTCCGATCGTCCTCGCTATCGACGATGATCAGAAGTTTCGTATCGGAGATTCCAACCGAGTCACGCTCGTTGACTCGGTTGGTAATCCGATCGCGATTCTTACCGAGTAAGTTTCTTCCTAATTATGCAATTGAAATCATCAAATGTCTGCATAAGAACCTAATTTGAAGAAAACTCGTCTTGATTATGATTTGTGATTGCAATTAGAGCTAAAGCTGATCATTGATTGATTGATTTTGAGTTAGTATTGAGATTTACAAGCATCCGAAAGAAGAACGAATCGCGAGAACATGGGGAACTACGGCTCGTGGACTTCCTTATGCGGAAGAAGCAATCACCAAAGCTGGAAACTGGTTGATTGGAGGTGATTTGCAAGTCCTGGAGCCGATCAAATACAATGATGGTTTAGACCGGTTTCGTTTATCTCCATCTCAGCTGCGGGAGGAGTTTATAAGGCGCGGTGCGGATGCGGTTTTCGCTTTCCAGTTAAGGAACCCGGTCCATAATGGTCATGCGCTTCTTATGACTGATACTCGTAGAAGACTTCTTGAGATGGGTTACAAAAACCCTGTCTTGTTGTTGAATCCACTTGGTGGATTCACTAAGGCTGATGATGTACCTCTCAGCTGGCGTATGAGGCAACACGAGAAGGTATAATAAACCCTAACTTTTGCTTCCTTATGTTCCAAGAAACTCTATTGAATACAAAGTGGTTCATCTTTCAAATGAGGTTTAGATTTTGATGTATGGATATTGGATAATAGACTTGGTTTTTGATTCTGGATATTGCATGTATGGAGTGAAAATGTTATATTGCTGTTTCTTGATTTGAACATGTAGGTGTTGGAGGATGGTGTATTGGATCCAGAGACCACTGTAGTGTCCATCTTCCCATCTCCAATGCTCTATGCTGGTCCGACTGAGGTTCAGTGGCATGCCAAAGCTAGGATCAACGCGGGAGCTAATTTCTACATTGTTGGTCGCGATCCAGCTGGTATGGGCCATCCGACAGAGAATAGAGATCTCTATGATGCCGATCACGGCAAGAAAGTGCTTAGCATGGCCCCAGGACTCGAACGTCTCAACATTCTTCCCTTCAAGGTTAAGATCGATAGTTGCTACTTCCTCTTAATCGAAAGTTTCTTCGAGGGTTAAGTCTGATTGTTTTTGGTTTGTTTGCATAGGTCGCTGCATATGATAAAACCCAGGGGAAAATGGCTTTCTTCGATCCTTCTAGGTCTCAAGACTTCCTCTTCATATCAGGAACCAAGGTAAAACCCAATTTCGGAGCTCCAAATCTGAATTCTTACTCTAGTGACTAATGTAAAAACTTGGATCGGATGGTTTTGTTTTTAGATGCGTGGCTTGGCGAAGAAGAAAGAGAATCCACCAGATGGTTTCATGTGTCCCTCTGGTTGGAAGGTGTTGGTTGATTACTATGACAGTCTCAGCGCAGAGTCTGGTAATGGAAGGGTTTCAGAAGCTGTCGCTTCTGCTTGAATGCAAAGGTTCCTTGTCCCACAAGTTTCACATTTCCTGTTTGTTAAGTAACAAAGCTTCCAATAAAACCAATGTAACATCTATGTGTTCTTTGCGTCTCTGTTGTCAAACTTGTCATTGAGTCGCATCGATATGTACCATATTTGCTTATTGTGTTATGAATGAAAAACATCTGTGTGTTGGGTTTAACTATCTCTCTTCCATGGAATGATGGAAACATAAAACTGTAAGCTAAAAACTGTAAAATGAGTTTTGCTACATGATGGTAGGGCCTAACGGCGGTGGCAGGTCGATTCCCGGTGGTGGACTCTCCGGTGGGAAGATATCCGGTGGTCGAGGTGGTTCCCAAATCGGAGGTATCACATCAGGGGGAGTTTTTGGCGTAGGAGGATTTGGAGTATCTGGCATCGGTGGAGACGGAGATGGTGGAACCGGAAACTCGGGGCCAGGAGTCTGTGGCGGTCCAAGCGGTGGTGGATCACTTGGAACCGTCGTAATTTCTGGTGGAGTTTCCGACGGATTTATCTCCGGTATATTAGGAAGCTCCGGGACTTCTAATGGAGCCCACTCTGGTCCTCTACTTGGCCATGAAGGTAACTCTTCCTCTGAAGGAGACCCACCAGGGAATTGGATTTTCGGTGGACCGGTTTGGCTAACGAAATAGACTCCAGTAGTAGAGTTGGTTAACCCTCTAATCGGCTTAGAAGTACACGAAACCGATTTCGCCGCAGTGATTAACCGTGTAGACCATGGCTTAGACTTGAATGATGAACATAAAAAGAGAGTGCCTCGCATAAGATTTGCAGAGATCAAAGACATAACTTTTGTTTTTACTTCAACTCTTGCAAAGATACAATTTAAACAAGTTCAAGTCTATTAACACGTGGCACCAAGAACCATATATGCAGCATTGTGGTTTAACACGTAATCTAAACACGTGGCAGACTACTAAATATTACACGAAACTCTTGTGCTAAACCTAGGCTGGGGTCGATTCTCATTGGTCACTTATGGGTCAGGTTTGATTCTCTATTTTTCATTTCCATATTTATTTGTTTTGTTTTGTTTCTTGTCTAAATAAACTCAGATATTGCAATCATATATATTAAGATAATAAAAAAATATCACATCACATAAGTTACAAACCATAACAAATTTAGTTTTCCAAAAGAATTCAAGAAAAATTAAAACACTACGACGACGTAATGGGAGTGATCCTAGGAACTTGAACAGGAAAGTCATCAATCTCATCAATCCATGGATTAGTCTTCTCGTCCATTGGATCAATCGTTCTCAAAGCTTTCCAAACCGCACTGTTACACTTAAAACCCGATCCGAACGCAATCTGCCAAGTCCTATCTCCTCTCTTAATCCTTCCTTTAGCTTCACTATACGCAAGCTCATACCAAAGTGAGCTACTCGAAGTGTTTCCAAACCGGTTCAACGTCATCCTCGATGGCTCCATGTGCCATTCGGATAAATCCAAGTTCTTCTCTATCTCGTCGAGCACGGCTCTACCTCCCGCGTGGATACAGAAATGCTCGAAAGCTAGCTTGAAATCGGGAATGTAAGGCTTTATTTTCTTGACTTTGAAGACTTTTCGGGCCACGAGGGTCGCGAAAAAGAGAAGTTGTTCGGACATTGGTAGGACTAGTGGTCCGAGAGTTGTGATGTTTGTCTTGAGAGCTTCTCCAGCTATTGCCATTAGGTTTTTAGAGAGTGATACTCCGATTTTGCCGGTTTCTTCTGCGTTGTTGTCTTCTCGTTGGTAAACGCAGCCAAATGCGTTGTCATCAGCTCCTTTGTGGGTACGAACGGTGTGGATTAGCTGATATTTTGAACGGCTACGATCCGAGGAGCGGTTCGATAGAAGTACCGCGGCGCCGCCCATACGGAAGATGCAGTTAGAGAGAAGCATTGATCGGTCGTTACCTAAGTACCAGTTTAGGGTTATGTTCTCTGTGCTCACCACTAGTGCGTAGGAGTTTGGTTGCACCTGCATAATTGTCACAAATTTATTATTACTCTCAAAACTCAAAAAATATGTATACAATACTTAAAATAAAATAAAAAGAAATTTCGGATCTAAGAAATTCTAACAATGGTTGTGACTAGACAACCGTTATACGGTGGACATTAAACACAAATCTATAAATGCAACCGTATGTGTTGTGTGTGCTATGTCTCATGTGTAATGTAATGCAAGTAGCCAACATTATATTGTAGCTCATTTAAGACCTTTGGTTCAATTTGCCAACCAGATTAGAGATATAAGAAACTTGCAAGCACGTGTTACCACGTTCATTTCTTAGATCTACAATTTAAATAGTGACTATATATATGTTTGTAAAAGTGATTGTAATCTATAATTATGCATCAATCCTAAATTCCTAATGCATGCACGATTGTATTATTGTATATGTAATAAATGAATAGTTTTTGCTAGATGGTTACGTTTGAGAAAAGAAAAAATGTAATCAACTTTTATATTATAGTATAAATATAATAAAACGCTGGACATTAACATAACATAAATGGTTTTTCCATTTTCACAACTACCACCAACCTAAAGACTACAAAGCCTGTCTTTGTCAGAATTTTGATAGACACGTGACTTTTACACGTAAATGTGGCCTTTATGTTTTCATACAACTCATACATAGCATAAAGTTGAATCCAAATTCAATATAAGTCGGCAACCAAAAACCAAACCAGTGATGACACTAATATTATAGCACGTAATAATGACATGCAAGCGAAGTCAATTAATCAAAAAATCTAGCTGGTAAGTGTACTAAATGCTTTATTAAGTGACACCGAGACACAAATAATTAAATTTTGAGAGGAAAAATTGTAGCCGGTAATTCTACTAAATGCTTAAATTCTCCCAATAATTTCAAGAAAATCATGAGCTGTCATTTAGCCTTTTCAACTTTTAAAAGTCGAATAAGAAAAAGTCCTTAGATTATATTCTTCCACAAATCACGACGACTCATAAGACCATGTACATAGGACATTTTTTATGGGTATCATAAGCCCAAAAATATTAAATTAATGGGTAAAACCACTGACTTGGGCCTGAGCCGTATCACTGGGGTGATATTAGTGATACCAGTATCTGATGAGGTGGCGGCTCGGGATTAGTCGGGAGAAACGCGTTTTTGTGGGAAAAGAGTGAAAAAAAAAAAAAAAATCATTCTTCGTTTTCGCATTCTTCGTTTCCTCTGTCGGCGATTCTCCGTCTCTCCTTCGTTCTAATCGCCGGCGGATCTCTAAAGTTCCCCGTGGAAGAAGAACGTGCAGATCTTTTAAGATCTCTCTTCACCTCTGCCTCTCCACTCGTCATTTGTCTCGTCGAGGTGCCGTAGATCTCCCTCGAAGAAGAACTTAATCAAGAGCTGTCGGTTGGAGAAGGAGATCCGCCGGCGATTCAGACGACTATGAGTGAAGATAAGTTGATTTCTGATTTCATTTTGTAGTGTGTAGATCTAGGTTTAGGGTTTGGGTCGATTCAAGGGTTGGTTTGTTTTTTGGGTTTCGGGAAATACGTTTGAGAAGGTGAAATTGGATTAGGGTTTGGATTAGGGTTAGGTTTTTGTTGGATTAGGGTTTGGTAATTGTTAATTTCGGTTTGAAATTGATATTCTTAGTTCTAGTTACCTTTAATTCCTATTGATTTATGATTTTTTCTTCTGATTCGTGATTCTTATTTTGGATAACAGGTTTTAATCGCTCCAAGCAGTGCTTCAAAGGAGAAGACTCAGATCACATCCGACAGCTTGAGGAAGAAGTACAACTTCTTAAGAATCTTTCACATCCAAACATTGTTGTGAGTTGGCGAATCCATTTCAGCTATTTCTCATATGTTTAATGTCTGTTCTGCATGCATTCTTCTTATTATCTTGTTTCTTTTTCAGAGATACTTGGGTACTGTAAGAGAGAGTGGTTCGTTGAATATTTTGATGGAGTTTGTTCGTGGTGGATCAATATCATCTATGTTGGATTTTGATCTTTTCCTGAGCCAGTAAGTCCTGACTATATCTTTAACTTTGTGTTTGAGCTTCGCAGGCTATCAATGTTGTATCTTAACCTTTTTTAATAGGTGATAATAATGTACAAAAAGCAGCTGTTGTTGGGTTTGGAGTATCTTCACAACAATGGGATTATGCATAGAGATATTAAGGTACTTTTCATCTTCCCAGCATGTGAATTTCTAAAAG